ATCCGGCCCAGGGGCCTTATCCGGGAACATAGAGAAGATGGCTGTTTTTACCTCTTCCGGTTCAAAAGGGCAAACTAACACATCATTCTGTGCCTTAGAGATTCTAGGCGGTACATTATTAAAGAAATCATCCCCACCAGTAGGCATACCATCAGATTTAAAAATATTCACAAAGTAATCCAGAATCACATCATTCATGGCATTCTCCCTAACCCACACCCCATTAGAATCTTTAATAATTCTAGATAAAGTTTTCTTACGCTTATAGAAGAAGCATACCTATGATAAAACTTGGTGTTGGCATCAGCACGTTGAAGCCAGTGCTGCTTAGCTCTCTGCCTCCAATAGATATCCTCCTAGGCATCTAGCTGATTTAACTCAGCCTCGATAGTCTGGTATTCGGCCAAAGCTGCCTCAATAGTGTGGCCTCGTAAAGCTGTCAGCTTCACACGCAGCAGCTTGATCTGCTTTCCAAACATATGAAAACGGTCACCCCCTCCCCTCCCCACTCCTGTAGCAGATCTCACGACTCCCGCCTCTTTCTCCTCTCCGGGAACCCATAAAAACACGTCATATGCCAAGGCTCCAACCCATCCAAAGACACCTCCACATCCACATGAGTTCTAGAGTAACTAATGAGTCTAGCTGTATTATTACGCCTCCACAACAACACCAGACCTCCACTCAGTCCCACACAATCGACATAGAACAAGCCTTCGAAACCAAGTTTGACCCGCAAACGCTCTGCATGTTCACGTTTCACCTTAGTTTCCATCAAGAACACAAAGTCGGGCTTCTTATAGGACACCATGTCCACAATTTCTTGAACTGTACGTAGATTGCCCAAGCCACGACAGTTCCAGCTCAAGGTACTCTTGATGATGGGTGGGCCTAGGAACTAGTACCCGCCAAGGACAAGTTTTTTGGCACATCTGACATTGCTACATCACCACCACCACCACCTACACGTCTACCACCACCGCCCGAGACCTCCCTATGACGCTTCGAGGCCGCCACCATCACGGGACTACTTTCCGGCTGTTCGGCGGTCATGGTCTCCACCGCCACAAGCCGACTGTCCGTGTAACACCCCCGATTTCCATGCCAATTTAAACTTAAATATGCAGATAATCTAACCACAATATAAGCATACACAGATGAAGTCTAACTATATAAACTTGAAAACGAGGAATGTTATGTCACGTCCACGCTAAGGTGAATGCACAGGCGAGAACAACATCCACATAATCAGTCTAACAAGGGACAAGGTTAAAACAACAACAATCTACTGTTTGACATAAAAGGCTCACAGACCCAAAACAAAGCTAATAAAGTCTGAGGGAACTACACTATCCATCACTATATCGCGCTCGCCACTACCCGGGACCTTAAAAGCACATAAATAAATGGGACGACGCCCGGTCAGCGAATAATGCTGATAACCAATCAATACGCGTCAATAGCATATATATAGATAGATAGTTTATTGCAAAATCATTTCGAAACTGAATACTGTATATATAAGTTTCAAAGCCAAAGATAAAAGTCAACCACAAGACTATATATCACTCACAACAAGAATAAGGGAACACATCCCAAGACATCAAGACGTAACAATGACAACACAAGTAAGGCTCAAGGTATATTCTACCATCACTCAGTAGAATATCATCTGACATGCTAAACACAAGAGAATAAAGACACATATTGGCAACACATGCCTTCGTGACATCACTCATCACGAATCAAGAATCCATCCTTATGCCCGGTTCCAACCTTATGGCTACCCCCAACCTTATAGCTAGTTCCAACCATTACCTCCAGGACCCCTGTACTTCTGAGTCCAACATTTTCCCTCTTAGGACCGTCGTCCCCCACCAACGACCACCAACAATTCCACCAATTCATAGTACACGAGGGTACCGATCACACACTTTGGCAACACATGCCTCCCAAGAAAACGTGAACCCATCACACAGGTCACAAACTCCATAATCACGTCATGGCCACCACGAGGACCACTGTCGTACCTTGGTGACTAATGTCCCATTCCATTAATCGTGCAATCCAGGTACAGCCACACACACAACACCATCATAGGAATCAATCAACAAATCACAACGAAGATATGAAACCATACTCAACAAGGAAAGGATCACAATCCGACAACAACGATGATTAACACAGGTCATCATCCACAATGGGAAAGGGCAAACCACACACGCTAGCATTTAAACACCGAACTAGCATGCTTATCAAACGGGTAAACTAAACATAGTTCCGAAGAACACACAAGACTCATCATGGTTCAACAAATCACAAGGTTGAACACTTAGCACGATTCAAGACACCAACACCAACATGGAATCCTACCATATAGTTCTAGACATACGAAACATCAAGAATACACTCAAAAGCCCAACAAAAGAACATCGGGAAGTCAAAACATCAATTACCGAGTCAAAAGAATCACGGGGAACAAATCCCCGCACAAGCCAACATTGTACCCCGCGGGTGGGGCCACGAGTGGACCCCCACCCGTGGTTCCGCCAGCGGGAACCATTCCCACACACCAACGTACCCCGCGGGTGGGGCGGCGGATGGACCCCTACCTGCCGTTCCGCCCGCGGGTACCAAACCCTGAACAAATTAATCCCTTCGGGGATTTTCAACACCAAGCTCAAATTCAAGTCCAAAACATCCAAAATCTCACCAAATACAACAAAATGACTTGAATCAAAGGAATAGCCAAGCAATGACATACATGAACCCTAATAACAAGCTCTAGATATGCATTTTCACAAGACAATGCATCAACACTCACATTTCATAGTAAAATCACATGTAGAATCCAAGAAATCATCATATAGGTAAGGAAAATAGATTTTGTAAAGCATGGGTTACCTCTGGAAGACTAAACCTTCACTTATAACACTTCTCAAAGCCCCTAACAAGGTTCACCTTCAACACCCACTTCAAGAACACACCAAAAGACCATAAAGATCTCATCTTTAGAAAAAGATACCTTAGAAAGCACTAAAAATACAAAAGGAACATAGATCTTACCCTCCTAGATGCTCAAGAGTAGGAAAGGTGGAATCTTGGAGACAAACTTTGAAGATCTTGGAAAGTCTAAATTTAGCTTGGAGAGAAAGCTAGCTAAATTTTTAGAGAGAAGGAAGAGCTTATGTTTTGAAAGTGTAAGGGAAGGAATGAAAGGTGTCTTCTAGGTTAGCTCGGGATACAATCATGAGGTGAAATGCCTTCATTACCCTTACTAAGATGAAGAAGTGTAAGGGAACAAGGGAACTATTCTCAAAGCTTTAGGTACAACACCTTGACTTGGGTTGACTAGTCAATTACTAGTCCCTGACTATTGAATTTTCAGGAATTAAAAGAATAAATCACCAATTAGATTAGGATTAATTACTTAATTAATCTCTAAATAGAATTTAGATTTGCGGGGTGTCACAGTCCGCCCCACCGCCCATGCTACCGACAACCCGCGGTGGTTCTGTAACCGGGATAAGCCACGGTTCACCAACTGCTCGTGGACCACTCTTTCCGCCAGCCCGAAGCCCTTCCCCATACGGGTAATGCTCAACGGTAGGGTTGAGTTCCGAGCCTACAAGCAGAACTTGTGCGAGTGTCCAAGCATGCCGCAGAAGAAACAGAATGTGTGGAGCCTCTCATACTTGAACGACACCCAACAAGTGGTCTTATCCCGTTTCAGAAGCTTCATACGTCGCTTTAGCGGTCTAGCCATAGGCACTGAGACCCTAATACGATAGAATGACCTCCAAGGAGCTCCCGTAAACCGATCATCAACACGCACGAATAAACCAAGGAAATTCCCAATCTGCTCTAGGATAACATCAGACGTATATCCCAATGGGAGATCATGACACTGTACCCACATATCCACCGAATCTAGCACCACCTCACTCGGCATTACCCCATCCTTAACCTGCCTACAAACCAAAGTACGATTGTCAAAGGACCAAGGCCCCTCCTCAAGAACACAATCCATATCAGTTTTGTGCCTGAATACAAACAAGAAAAGATTCGTTTGTAACTCCGTAACTTGGACACCCATTACCGACTGCCAAACCGACGCTAAGACCTGCCGCATAAACTCCACCTTCACAATCTTGGTAGTCAAGAAACGACCAACAAGAGTCCATGCCTCATCCTCACAGTCACCTGCCCCCACCTCGTCACCTACAGGATCGAAGGCGACCTCCTCCTCCTCCTCAAGCACCATATCAGCCCAACGAGCAGTCACCCCTTCCACGGACGTCGTCGCTGCCATGACTCGATGATAGCAAGAAATCAAGGGCCTCTCTAGAGAGAAACCGACGTGAGACGTCGGAGAAAAACACCCAAAAACGCCGGAAAACCCTAGGACCCTAGGAGAGAAGCCGAAACCCTAGATAGCTAAAGAGAGAATTTTTTGTAATTTGAAGCATTTATAATCTATTTGGTTGCATAACACCCTAGTTTGTTGGTTAATTTATACAATTGTATATCAATCCAAATATTTTAAAAATATTATAACAAATTCATCCCGTGCAACGCACGAGTGAAAATACTAGTATATCTAAAAAACATAATAAGTCTCAATCAAAGTTGTATCTCTAATTTATGACTATGTTTTTAGTGCTAACCATTTTGTACATTGTGCTTTTAGAGTTGTACTATATAATTTTTTGGACAAAAATATTGTTACCATTATAACTTTCATTATCTTTTCTATTACTTTTCCCCTACACATTCATCCACCATATCTTTTATTATATTATTTAATGATAATAATATTTGTAGACATATAATGCATTAATATAATAAATAAATTTTATTTCATTTTTATTTTAATTAGTAAAAATTTGTTAATTATTTTTAAAAATATAAAAAATATAAATTTTGGGTATATATTTTTGTGCATTCTAAATCAAAAATACTAGTATATAATTATATACTTTCAATAGGTCTTTTTGAGCGGTGAACCCAACAGGCAAACACACCCTCCATATCTTTCTTTCTCTATCTGTTAGGGTTTCTCTCCCGCCTCCAAACCCCTATTATTTTGTCCAAGCATCATAGACTAATACAACCATGGCGAAGAAGAATGAGAAGTCGGTGAACGTATCCGGAAAGCCTAAGCATTCCCTTGATAGCAATAGAGATGGCAGCGGAAGTAAAGGCGGCCGTAGCGCCGCCACTGTGCGGCGGCTTAAGATGTACAATACGAGACCTAAGCGTGATACTAGGGGAAAGGTCGTAAAACACGACTTGCAATCCAAGGAGCTACCCTCCACTCGGATTCAACCCGATCGCCGATGGTTCGGTGTGTTCTTTCATCTCAGTTCAATTTTCAGCTTTTATGCGACTAAGCATGTATCTGTACTTATACTGCTTGCCATTCTAGCTTTGTAGAATTTTGTTTGTGCAATTAGTAAAAATTTCTGTAAAAAGCTCATTAATTTCTGAAATTTGTTTATTTTGCTCTATGGAAGTTATTGCAGCACTTTGCACTGACATTATAATCAAATTTGTAGGCAATACACGAGTAGTTAATCAGAAAGAGCTAGAATTCTTCCGTGAAGAGCTACAAAGTCGGATGTCCAGTAGCTACAATGTAATTTTGAAGGACAGAAAATTGCCATTGTCTCTTTTAAATGATCATCAAAAGGTATTATGGTGCTTTCTTTTGAGATGTTAATTTACATAAGCTTTTATTTTGTCAATGTCCTTTGAGACATGGTGGGGGTGCACTTAGAGGATTTAATGGTGCAAGTATTGAGCTAGATGAGCCTTCATCACCCGTCTATACTAATTTGGCAAGCTTTTGCTTTATTTGAACTGGGTCCCTTTTTTAATTTGGCAAGTCATTTCATTTAAAGTAGTGAGATCTTACCTAGTTGAAAAAGATACAAAATTAGGACTATGCCAATAAGCCTCCTGTTAATCATTTTTGTTAGGTTGCTTGCCAAACTCATACCTTATCATGCACCCTGTTTGTTTGTTAATTTATCTGATTTCTCCTGTTTTATATCTTGGTAAAGCAAGCAAGAGCTCACCTGCTTGACACCGAGCCTTTTGCTGATGCCTTTGGTCCTAAAAGGAAGAGGAAACGCCCAAAGCTTATGGCATCAGATTATGAGTCGCTTGCAAAGAAAGCTGATGTTTCTCAAGGTGTTAAAAATGATATTCTAATTGTGTTTAGGACTGTTAGTTCTTAACACTGGAAGATTTCTTTGTTGAATGATTTGGTTTTCAATTCAACAGATGCTTTTGAGGAGAAGTTTGGTGCAAGCAACCCAGGGGAAGGAGATGAAGATTCTTTTAGAGACCTAGTGCGACACACTATGTTTGAGAAGGGTCAAAGTAAACGCATATGGGGTGAGCTCTATAAAGTGATAGACTCATCAGATGTCGTTGTTCAGGTTTGTAATTATATTTTATTCCACCTTTTGATCAGAAGAAGAGTCAAGCGTGCTCAAGTGTTGGGCTTTCTCAATTTTTTCACTTAATGTGTATCAAAAAGTAATGCATACACTCAGGGGGTGGGGTGTCTGGGGTTGGAGCCTAAATTATTCTCACCCTGACATTTTTTTTGTGCCAAAGATTTGTTCGTATATGTTAATCTTCATCTCATTGCTCACAAGTGGATAAATTCAAATATTGAAGGAACAAGTGGTACTTACAAAACTCGTGTTGCAGGTATTAGATGCTAGAGACCCGCAAGGTACACGATGTTTCCATCTGGAGAAACATTTGAAAGAAAATTGCAAACATAAGCACATGATTCTTCTACTGAACAAGGTTAGCCGTTTGCTGATAGGTTATGGAAGGTTTATGCTTTTTTCTACGGCAGCTGTTTATGTATTCACACACTTGAATTGGTAACTCTGCCCTTATACAGTGTGATTTAGTTCCTGCTTGGGTAACTAAAGGGTGGCTTAGGGTTCTTTCCAAAGAATATCCCACATTAGCATTCCATGCAAGTGTCACCAAGTCCTTTGGCAAGGTATGCAACCAGCTTTCACATATTTTTCATTCCCTGTTTTCTTTCTCCCCAATTCACAACAGCTTCATGGTGTCCTTGAATATCGACTATGCTGAAGAAATGAAGAATAGATAAATTGACTAGACAGACACACCCTTAGAGTAGGTTTGTTGTATTATTATTATTATTATTTATAAAATCTAATTTACTTAGTTTCAAGCTTTGCTTTTAGGGCTCTCTTCTGTCAGTATTGAGGCAGTTTTCTCGGTTGAAGAGTGACAAACAGGCAATATCCGTGGGCTTTGTTGGGTATCCTAATGTTGGTAAATCATCTGTTATCAACACATTGCGAACAAAGAATGTATGGTTCCTCTAACGTGTAATTTGGTGTTGAGTAGTGTGAAGTGTTTTGGCTATTACATGCTTGCTACATGGTTCAACTTTAGCTTATTCTTCTTTTCAACTGCTCTTAAAAAATTAGGTCTGCAAAGTGGCTCCTATTCCAGGAGAGACTAAAGTATGGCAATACATAACACTTACCAAGCGGATTTTCTTGATTGACTGCCCTGGTGTTGTTTACCACAGTAATGATTCTGAAACAGATATTGTCTTGAAGGGTGTGGTATGTTATCTCATTTTCATTATTATAAATTTAATTTATTTAATAACAGAAACTGTTGTTGATACAGTTAGAAATATTTAAAGTCAAGGATGTTCTATGAACCAGCCAAAGAGAACTATCTATAAATATTTTCCCTGGTTATCCATCTAGGTTTTCAGATATCAATCATATCATTGTTATTTGTTGTGATGAACTAACTGTTCACTTGGTTTTGTGGTTTCTATCTGCAGGTACGTGTGACAAACTTGCATGATGCTTCTGAGCACATAGGTGAAGTGCTAACCCGTGTGAAAAAGGAGCATATTGAAAGAGCATATAAGATAAAGGAATGGTAAGAGCTTTGTTTTGGGATGTGGGATTTGGGAGAAGCTCTTGAGAATTTACATTAACTGATTTGAACTCAATAGCCTTTCTAAAGACTGCTTTGTGTATTTAACTAGTATAATGTTCCTCATTCTGCCCTCTGTTTTTCCAATGTAATGTTATCTTATTTGTATGTGCTATTCTGGTGGTCCTGAGAAAAATTTCCATGCTGAAGTTATTAATGTGCATTTGCATCCTTACATGTGCTTGTTTGTGAATTTGAATATCTCAATAATGTTTGCAGGGAGGATGAAAATGACTTTCTTCTTCAGCTATGCCGGGGAACAGGCAAACTGTTGAAGGTAAACTCACAACTAATGAATGCTTGATGCACTTGACTTAACCAAAAAAAAAAAAAAAGAGTACAGAAATGCTTGATACAATTTTCACTGTAGGGTGTAGGTGAGTGTTAGGGATGTGTAACAATGTCTAATCTTGTGGGTTTGAAGAGAATGAGGATTGAAAGGATCATCTGGACCATTGACTAGTATATATTTTGCAAGTTGTAAAATCTTGACTGATTCCAATATGTTGAATCTGATGACTAACCTTGAGGGGATGGAGATTTTAATGTCATGGGCTTTGAGGGTGGAGGTGAACTTGAAGGAATTGTGCAATGTTGGGGAAATTATTCTGTGGAGCATGAATACAAAGTACATTTTTAATATACTAAAAGTACATTATTTGTGCAGTGAATGTACATTGATAGTATACAAGGTAATGTACTTTTAGTACTCAAATAATGTACCTTTTTTTGTGGTCCACGCAATTGTATGGACGATGGTCCATAAAATAATGATCCACAATGTTGAATGCTTTGTGTTTGAGACTTTGAGATGTGAGGACTGAAAGGATGATCTGAATAATGTACTAGTATACATTTCATGTATTAGTGGATGGCGGTAACTATTCTAGAAGAATGAACACGGAAACATTTCCGCTAGTTATATTTCAGCTAATTTGGGTGTCGGTTATAGACTGGTCTGCACCCTGCATTACCCCGACATATTTTTGTGTTCTTGTTGATTTATGACTAACGGATACTGTTTGTCGTTGATGCGTGCACAGGGAGGGGAACCCGACGTTAAGACTGCTGCAAAGATGGTTCTCCATGACTGGCAGAGAGGCCGGATACCGTTCTTCGTGCCACCCCCGAAGATAGATGACGATGCAAAAGAGGACAATGAGCTTGGTGGAGAGGAAGAGGATGCCGCGGCAGCTAGAAGAGCCATTGCAGATGTAATATCATCACAGCAGCTAAGTGATGTTCCTGTTCAGACAGATCTGTACAGTGAGAGTGAGTTGCTGGGTGAGACTAGCGAAAAGCTTCCTGAGAATGAGCCCTAGGCTCCTCTACTGCCCTGCCAGCCATTGTAGTGCTGCTGCTACTGGCCATTATTTTTGTCATTTGCTAATTTGATTTGACAACCCAACCTAAAATTATGGTTGTTATGCTTCCTTATTTTATCTGTCCTATTTACTATATACGGTGTATTAGTCAATTACACTTTTTATTTGTTTGGTTTTTATTTTCTTTTAACATTATTTTTATACAGAGTAATTTTTAAATTTGGCCTTTTGTGTTTAATAGTACTATAGTACTCTTGATGTAGTTATTTGAATATATAAAGGCATAATTGCATTTTTTGTCTCTAGGTTATAAGGTAATTGTATAATTAGTCCTTGATGTTGGTTATGTTTGCTTTTCGTACCTAAGTTATTATTGACGTTGTACCTTTTGTTTTTTCGTGCTCATTTTTTGTTCTTAAGTTATATTGTTATACTAAAATTGTAAATTTTGTCGCTAATGGTTTATTATTAGTAAAGGAATGAAGAGTGTAATGTTAATAATAATTTAGGGACGAAAAGTGAGTATGACCAAAATAAATTTTGCAATTATCGCGGACGAAAAGTGTAATTTTTCTATATGTATGTGTGTGTGTGTGTATGTGTATGTATATATGTATGTATTAATTATATACACTATTAAACCAACATTAAATTGAACATTACAAAAAAATTGAATATTGTTATAAATATATATTATGTGGACATTATGACCATTCAATACAAAACGGATGTAACGGTCCGGACATTATTATCATCATTATTGTTTGGTGTTACATATTGTATTTATATATATGTTGTATCATTGTATTCGGAAGTTGGTTGGAATGAGAAATATACATTACTTTGTGCCCTTACTTTCTTGCTCTTTGTCTCTTGGTCTCAATTCACCAGTTAGGAGCTAAAGGCCATCGAGCATCTCACTTTACAACACGTTATCAGCAAGCTCAAAGCTCAACCTCGGTGAACGGTATGTTTATTTTCTAATTAACATTCATAACTATTAAAATTGCAACAAATTGCATATTTACATTCTGAAATCCTGTTGATTTGAAGTATATGCTTACAAATATATATGCAATTTGTATTTCTATCTTATGAATGTTTGTACACATACCTTGATATAAAAACGTGAATCTGTCGTTCATTCTATGTATATAAACATTTGCAAGCCATCAGTATATATATGATTTTTGAAAATTTTATACAATTTTTTTTCGAAAAGAAAATTAATCCATGCTGTTTATTAAGATCAGTAAAAGAAAATAGTTTTTTTCGAAACAAAAAGTTCTATAATTTTTTTCCGAAATCCTAATGTTCACAGCATCAATTTTTGTTCAAAAACTATTTCGAAAATATGAAAAAGATTTCGTGGATAATTTTTTTTCGAAAACTACATATTTTTTCCCAAAAGGGTTTTTTTTTTTTTTTTTTTTTTTTTTTTTTTTTTTTTCAAAAAGCTCTTCACAGCATAATTCCTATTTAGAACTCAAAATGAAAATTTAGCATAATATATGTTGGATATTCGGACGAACATTGTGTGTTTTCGAAAACAATTTTTTTTTAAAAAAAAATCAAAACCTGCTCTTGGTCAATCTGCTACCGCTGTTATATGTCTCCGATTTGCGTCCCTGATGGTCGCAACATTGGATGTTTTCGCTGGCTGTGTTCCGGTGGTTGCCCGACGGTGTAGCACGTTTTTTTTGCCAATATTACTGTTGCGTCGTTATTCTCTGATCTGTTGTGACGCGTTTTTTGTTGACGGCGCCGTTGTCGCCGATTTGGCTGGTTGCGCTCAGGCGGTAGCCTGGCACTCCGAAGGAGGCGGCTGTCGCAGGTTGTCGCCGGCTTTGCTGCGTCCTAGTTGTGCCGACGCTCCGGCGGAGAGCGGTGGCAGCAGTATTTGACGTGGCGCGATTGCTTTAAAATTTTGCGATCGCCGTTCTTGTTTTTTTTCGTCCGTTCCTCTGGTCTGCGTACAAATATTTGCTTATAGGGTTTTTTTTCCTCTTTGTTTTAAGGAGATGGACTAGGGCTTTGGGGCTTTTTGGCCCAGTCCATTTATAAAAAAAGGGGAAGCTATGTTTTTAGCCCATTTAATTATTTTGGACTCCTGATTATTTAAACCCTCTATGATATACATATACATATTTTTTTGGGCTTGATTTATTCTGATTTATATGTATATAAATTGTTTTGGGCCAGCAATTTGATTTTTTTTTAAAGCATTGAGAACTATATTGCTTTCAAATTGCCATTCAATTTATTATTGAATATGCTCATAAATTAAAATTGCTACCTTGTGCAATTTATTTGGACCATATGATTTTATGAATTTCTATGCATATTCTGTTATATTAGCATAAATTGTTTTTGGATTATGCATTATGCTATACAAGTGGACCTTCGATTTTACCCAAACTTAATATGCATAGATTTGAAAGTTATACATCCTAGCTACTATTACCACACTTGTTCTGGACGGGAGTGATTATTTCATCCGGGCTCTTGATATTCAAATTTACCTCGATCCTACGTCACTTTGAAGACATGATCGTTGAGAAGTCCATGAACGACGCAGCCCAGAAAGCCAACGCTTTATTTTTCTTACGCCACCTGAATACCTTCCTGCAAAGGACCATTATGCCTTATAGAAATCCCCGAAGGATAAATTTGACTAGCATATATTCATTAGTCCTTTCTAAAATCGCAATTAGACTGCCTTACCTTGATCTTTCAAAACTTTAAATCAAATTCCTGATTCTAAATCAACTATACGCAAAAATTGTGTCCCAACTAAAGTTGCGTAAGCAGAATGTTTCTGGCACGAATTTGATTGGCGAGCCCTTGTTTTTTTTTTCGACACCACCCTCCTCCTATGAGTGTAGAAGCACAACCACATGTTGACGCAAATCTATAGTACATGCCCAGCTGGTTCTACACCGGTGCCCGAAGCACACGATGTCACCTAATTGTGCAACACCAAGAGGGGTTGAGGAAGAAGACAGGGAAGAGGTAAGGCCAAGGTGGCAAGAACAATAACTCTCGAAACCAGAATAAACAGTGAAATGATCCATCTCGACAACCACATTCATATGATCATAATTCTGGCCCAGCAGCAAATATGCTTCAATTGTTGGTTAAAAAGGCACCGATCACGTGCGTGCCACATCCCGAAGCATTTTGTTGAAACCTAAATGAACATCACAATGTTGAATCCAATCAAGTTGCCTTGCCTGAAGCAAACACTCTTGTTGGTTATTTTGATGACCTACTTTTTCATTCAACATCATTTCAGTGATGTTTTATTTTGGAAGATCTTTATACAAACATCTAACTTCTTCCAACAATTATTGATAAGGTTTCCTTTGTGGGTTCCGGTAGAGCTTCACTTTTACTCCATCAATTTTTTTAAATTGAAATGCCTTCATCCGATCAAATATCCTACTTTGATCAAATATCCTTCATCTGTTGAGTAGACATATGTTACTTGTTCTTCATAATCTAAAAAGAAGGATATGATCTAGTATCTTATAGATAATGTCTAATTTTCGGATTATCCTATGAACTTCGTCCTTTTTTTTCGACGATTATTATATGACATTGACCATTAAGGTGGAGTATCAAGTACCTTATGCTCATACCCAAATGGTTTAACTAATTAATAAAGTTATGACTTATTGCTAAACCATTATTTTTCAAAATTTCAATGTGCCGGATACTTGGTGGGGAAATGCAATATTTATGCTAAAAAATTTTCGGCACACTGCATATCCTTATTCCCCCTTCTATCTAATACGTGGTTTTCAAACAAACATTTCCCTAATCTGTGTTTCTATTCTTATGAATGCAGTCCAATCTATTACATAACCACCATAGCGTATCTATCTAAACTTCCATCTATTGTCTCCAATATTTAAAGCCCCTGAGAGAGACGCGATGGATACGCTGACTGCATGAAGATCGGTTCACGGCATTAGGGGGAGATATGATCAAAATTGAAATGGAATGCCGAGAAATTTCATGAAATGATCTTCAAAAATTAAATCCACGTACCAATTAGACTAAACTGGAAGTTCAGAAAGAAATCAAACATATCTGCCAAATAATCTATTTCATAAAAAGAGTGACTAGGTCCCATACATATTCCCCAAAATTGGACCATATATATCTATCAATACTCCTTGATACCAGAAGTACGGGAGATTCATTGGGATAGAAAAATAAAGAATCGACAAACAACTAGATCTAGTAAAGTTTTTTGTCACTCTTTGAAAATCTTAGAGCTCTTGAAAAATCATAAAAAGTTATATCTTTAAGATGATCGTCCAGATGACGAGAAAAACCCAGTAAAATTATAGGTGCACCAAATATTCATAATACTGGGTTGCGGAACAACCAGATATAAATATCCGGGAAATGGCTATAATCTGGTTAATTTTGAATTTTTTTTTTATATATGGGAGAAATTCTTGAAAAATGTTATAAGTTGTCGACAACACAATTACCTTCAAAATTGCTCATTTTATATGACAATCTGGATCCAGAACTAGGTGCCAGAAGCACCTACATTGATTAACGTATAAAGAGAGCAATTAAAGGCATATATAGCTCAACTCGCTAATATATTCCTTTTGTACACCATTGAAGTATTAACCCTGTAGGTTACAAATGGTGTTTGTATAAAGGAAAAACAAGAATGATAAGGTGGTGAGATATAAAACGAGTCTGTAGCCTAAGGGTTAACGCAGAAACCCATAATCAAGTATACTCTCCCATGATGAATATTATTAAAAGTTCCGCTACATGATTGGCAGAATAATTCTAGATATGCAGCTTATTAAAGTCATGACCTAGAAACTATGGGTCATTAGACACTAATGTTTATCTGAAAATCCTTGATGGATTTATAATTCTCAAAAATGAAAGAAAGTAAATATCACAACATGTTTGTTGTTGAAGTACAAATGCTTTACTTTACTTAAAATAGTGAAGCAATTGATTGAGTAATTTCCTCTTAAAATAAGGAAATTATAGAAATGAATTTGTACCATTAGGTACTTATTAAGGGGCTTATTTATAAAATAAAGGAGATGGAAAATCAAGTATTATATCGACCTGTAGATCGAGCATTTCCTTAAAAGGAATTTCACATACTATTTAGTCTATGTCCAAATAATCTCCCGCAGTAGATGGGGACCATTTTAACCTAAAAGGAT